CCTTTCCTTTTTCCTTTCCTTTCCTTTTTCCTTTCCTTTCCTTTTTCCTTTCCTTTCCTTTTTCCTTTCCTTTCCTTTTTCCTTTCCTTTCCTTTCCTTTTCTCTGTCTGTCTGTCTTTCTGGAGACGGAGTCTCACCTGTTGCCCAGGCTAGAGTGCAGTGGTGTGATCTTGGCTCATTGCAGCCACTGCCTCCTGGGTTCAAGCGATTCTCCTGCCTCAACCTCCCAAGTAGCTGGGATTACAGGGGCCCGCCACCATGCCTGGCTAATTTTTTTTTTTTTTTGCATTTTTAGTAGAGTTAGGGTTTCACCATCTTGGCCAGGCTGGTCTTGAACTTCTGACCTCGTGATCCTCCCGCCTCGGGCTCCCAAAGTGCTGGGATTACAGGTGTGAGCCACCGTGCCCAGCCGGAAAGTTTGTTCTTAATTCACTGTAAATGGCATTTTTAAGGTTTTTAATAGGCTTCCTGGAGTGTGGGTGTGATACCACCATCTATCACTTACTAAGAAATAAAAATTAAATGGGATAATATATGTAAATCACAGCTGAGTGCTTTGGTTCTTAGTAGCCTGTTCTCTTCCATCATAGTAGCTCTTGACAAATGTAAGTTACTCTCTCTTATTTCTACCCTTACTGTACTTCAGTTTTTCTTGAACTTTGAAGAGCTGTTGACATTATGAAAGAATTAGTTTTATTTGGGTATAGAAGAGAGGAGGTTGATGTGGGAGAACTGTTTTCTGGCACACGTTCTGCTGGGCCTTTGTTTTGGGGCATCTCTGAAGACAGAGTGAGAGACCCGCAGTGGAAGGGATTTCTAAATTATGAGGGTACCGTTTCTTTCTTTCTTTTCTTTTTTGTTTTTTTTCTTTTTTCTTTTTTTTTTTTTTTTTGAGACAGGATCTTGCTGTGTCACCTAGGCTGGAGTGCAGTGGCGATCTTAGCTCCCTGCAACCTCCACCTTCTGGGTTTAAGCAGTTCTCATGCCTCAGCCTCCCAAGTAGCTGGGATTACAGGCATGCTCCACCGTGCCTAATTTTTGCATTTCTATTAAAGATGGGGTTTCACCATGTTGACCAGGCTGGTCTCAAACTCCTGGCCTCAAGTGATTCACCCACCCTGGCCTCCCAAAGTGCTGGGATATAGGCAAAGGGCCACTGTGCCTGGCATATACTGTTTCTTAACCGTTAGGTAAGTTCTGGACTTTCTTCCCCTGGCATGTTTTTGGAAGAAGGTGAATAGGTCTTTTAGGCCCGTGTAGAGGCAAGGATGCTGTCATTATAAACATTTTCTGAATCATTCTGAAATTTTGAGTAGAATGTATGGCAGTATAGGAATCTGGACCTTGAAGGATTGATGAAAACTTTTTCTAAATACCTTCAGGCAACATGAGATCTTTTTATTGGCAGTTGTGCAAAACAAATAAAAATACTGTGATACATAATTTGTAATAGAGCAGGTAAACTTAGGAATAAAAGCATTAGAACTGCACAAGTGTATATGAGCATATTCCATTTTGGTTAAGGTTGGTGCCTTCCAACAGAGCTTTCAGCAGTGACATGTTTTTTCTGCATTGTCTGGTATGGTGGCCATTAGCTCTGAATGGCTATTGCGCACTTAAAACATAGCTTATCTCACTGAGGGATTGAATTTTAAATATTATTTAATTCTAAATAATTAAGGGTTAAATTTAAATAGCTCTGCGTACCCAGTGATTACTATATCGGATGGTGCAGGTCTGTGTTCTTTCCACCATTTTTTCCCCACCATATTTTATATCTTTATTTAGGTGAGACAAACGAGTTAGGTCAAAAGCTTTGTAACTGGAGAACCAAGTTGGAAGCAAAGAGGTTTTTTTGCAACGAGGAATCTCTTGCAAACAAACCTGGAACTTGGCCTAGTGTGTCAGTTTTTCTGACATGTAAGTATGGCTCTTTCAGAGCACTGGCACTGGGGCTGTGCTCCCCCGGAGAGGAAGAGCCTTAAGGAAGGAAGGAAGGAACTCTTTTGAGTCTGTTAAGTAAACTGAGTGTGTTGACAGTTTGAACACACTCCCTCTGGCAGCAAAACAAACTGCTTGGCTTATTTCATATTTTGAATCAAAGTAATTCCTTTAAACCGGCTTTTAATTTTCAAAGGTGGAAGCCGCCTCCGTCTCCTCTGCTGGCGCTGTGTACCTTTTTAGTTTCAGAGAAGCATGCTGGGGACCGATCTCTTTGGAAGCCTTACCTGGAGATTTTACCCAAGGCCTATACCTGCCCTGTTTGTTTGGAGCCGGAAGTGGTGAACCTTCTTCCCAAATCTTTAAAAGCAAAGGCTGAAGAGCAGAGAGCCCATGTGCAGGAGTTCTTTGCTTCCTCCAGAGACTTTTTCTCTTCTCTGCAGCCTCTGTTTGTGGAGGCTGTTGACAGCATCTTCAGCTACAGTGCCCTGCTGTGGGCTTGGTGCACCGTCAACACCAGAGCCGTGTACCTGAGGCCCAGGCAGCGGGAATGCCTTTCTGCAGAGCCGGACACCTGTGCGCTCGCTCCATACCTGGACCTGCTGAATCATAGCCCACGTGTCCAGGTGAGAAGCTGACAAGGGGGCAGCTATTCTATTTGGATAGGAAAGCTTCCACTGCCCAGAACCTGTGACTGTAGATGGTGAGTGACACCAGAGGGAGAGGCGTCGGCAGCTTCAGGTGAGCCTGTTGGGATGGCCTGCCGTCAGGAGGCTCCTGTTGTTCTTCCAGACCCCACTGTCCCTCTTGCAGTGCTTGCCTCTGCCCATTTTCTCCACTTTGCTCTTCAGGCCTACAGAACCTCATGTTGCATCCCCTGTCCGGTCTTTCCCAGCAGGTGGTGCAGAGCCCTCCTTCCTTCTCCCTCGTTCCTCCTTCAAGACCAGGACTGAAGCCCAGCCTGCTTTCCTGCCCTGTCGCTTTTAAACTTGGTGTTATAGCTGTCACAGCTTTTCTCTTTGCTCTGATCGCTGACTGACTTGATCTTTTTCCCACTGAGCTCTGAAATCTTTGAGAATGGGGTCTTTGTCTTGTTCCTCTTTGTCACCCCAGTGCTCATGGCAGGGCCTGGCACATAGTAGGTGTTCAGTAAATGTTTATTGAATGGATGGGTATTTGTGGGGAAAGGGTTCTGGGAAATAATGAAAGAAACCCGATTTGGGAGGTGGTCACAGATCGCATCCTCCTGAGCCTTTTCCCCAGGTGGCTCATTTGGGAAACGAGTGTTATTTGCAGGGCATGCAGGGGTAGAGGCCTGGCTTGGAGAGCAGGAGAATGTCCATCAGTCGACTCACCTGTAACGCTTTTGGGGTGTGTTGTGGAGGGACATGGCTGGGATCCGTGTCCTGGCTGTCACCTTTACATGACACTCCACTGTGAGAAGAGCAGTCATGCCTTGTGAGCCCACGTGCTAAGCTCATGTGCTCTCCACATGAGATCAGAGCTTAGGGAGGTTCCCGCTCTGCTTTCTTAGCCCAGGAACAAGGGCTGTCTGCTTGTTACTTTTGTAGAAAGAAGTATCTTTAACAATCAGGAGCAAAGGAGCCTGGGATTAGATGAGTGTTTCTGTGGTTGATGTTGATGAAATAATATCAGGGGTGTGTAGTGTGATAGGATGCTAGACATGGGAACTCCGTCTGTCCCCAGTGCAGTGATTTATTTTTATTGGGGCTTTTGGTGCATTTATGTGCCGAACCAATGATTTTATAGTCTACTGTAGGAAGACCACACCACAAACTACAGCCTGTGGGCATGTGGCCCGAAAGCCCTGAGCTAAGAGTGGTTTTTACACTTTGAAAGGATTGTAAAAATACAACTTGTGACAGAGACCACATAGGGCTGGCAAAGCTGAACATGTTTACTCTCTAGCTTTTTACAGATAAAGTTTATTGGCACCACCATGTCCTCCTTCCCTGGGCTATGAGTGGACGTGACCAATAAACTGCTGATGATCTCATCTGTGCTGTGTCAGGTGATGTGGTGTGGCCATCCCCAGCGCCCTAGGGCAGGACTCCCTCCCTCATCAACAGGGTGAAGTCGAGGTGGATGAAACCGGAAGTGGCATGTTCCCTATGCATAGTTACATTTATTGATGGGTGTTTGAAAGCTGCACTTGACTCACATTAATATTACATAATAACTTAATCAGTTTTTGTAGTTTTACACCTTACTTTAAAAAAAACCGTTAACAGTTTTTCTTTCTAGGTAAAAGCAGCATTTAATGAAGAAACTCACTCTTACGAAATTAGAACGACTTCACGTTGGAGAAAGCATGAAGAGGTATTCATCTGTTACGGCCCTCACGATAATCAGCGGCTGTTCCTGGAATATGGATTTGTTTCCGTCCATAATCCTCATGCTTGTGTTTATGTCTCCAGAGGTGGGAATCAACTTTGTTCTTAACATAAACACTGTATAATTTTTTTTCCCAGTTGGAGATGTGTATTTTCAGTTTTAATAAAAATATCAAAACCGTAAGACTGACATACACATCACTAATTTTCTTCTAGGTAGGCCTAGCCTTACTCTTACTGACTGTAATTTCAGTGTTGAAGTAAAAACAACAAAGCTCTGACTGATATTTAGGATAAGAAGAATTAAGAAGTTTTCATTGCATTGGGTCAAACTATAGAATAGAAGAAGAGGAAAACTGCTAAGGAAATAAATACAGTATTAAAGGATGGAAATGTTTATACTGAGATGTTGTCACTGGCACTAAAGACAATAGAATTAGAGAGCAATGAATAAAAAATATTTATTAAGCACCTACTGTGTGTAAGACACTGTGCTAATCACAGAGATAAATCTATAGTCCTTGTTTCTGGAGGTTGATGCCATGATGACATTTGATTTCATCTGTGTTCTTTTGTTTTTGGTTTTATTATTTTTGGTTTTATCATTGGTTGTATTTTTGAGTCAGAGTCGCACTCTGTTGCTTAGGCTGGAGTGCAGTGGCGTGATCTTTGCTTGTTGCAACCTCCGCCTCCCAGGTTCAGGTGATTCTTGTGCCCTAGCCTCCGGAGTAGTTGGGATTACAGGCATGCGCTACCACGCCTGGCTACTTTTTGTAATTTTAGTAGAGATGGGGTTTCGCCATGTTGGTTAGGCTGGTCTTGAACTCCTAGCCTCAAGTGATCTACCTGTCTCAGCCTCCCAAAGTGCTAGGATTATAGGAGTGAGCCACTGCACCTGGCCTGGTTTTATTATTATTATTTTTAATTTTTGTTTTTTCATATGATAGAGACAAGCTTGTTATGTTGCCCAGGCTGTCTTCAAGTCCTGGGCTCAAGAGATCCTCCTGCCTCAGCCTCCCAAAGTGTTGGTATTACAGGCGGGAGCCACCGTACTTGGCCCAGTTTTATTATTTTAAAATAGTAAGTTAGCCATTACACTTAAAATGTGAAAATTCCAAATATAGTGTTAAAAAAGTACATAGAAGACTGATTTTTCCCTTTGTGAAACAGTAGAGAAGCAGTTTTCTAGGCCATGAAAAAATGGCAAGAGATTTATTAAATACATAATTTGATGCATTTTTAATATAGATTTGATTGGAAATAGAAACTTGGCCAAGCTGTTACTACTCCATCTTATAAGGCAGAATAATAATGTGATTTCTCAAAATAAAAATAGAAAGGCAAAAACTGGGTCTTGCTGCTAGAAAACCAGCTTTGAGATTGGCTTCATGTTTTCAAAATCCTGATAAATTTAATATTGATGTCTATGAAGTATTCATTTGTTGAATAAATTAATTTGAGCAAAAATTATATTTTAGTTATATTTACATTTTAAAAGT